ATAATCCACCCCATATGTTTGTGTATAACCTTTAGCGACCAGCCTTGCCTTGAATCTTTCCACTGAGCCATCAGCCTTGTATTTAATGTTAAACACCCATCTACAGCAACGGGCTCCTTACCCTTCGGTTTGTGTTCCACTTCCCACGTACCATTACTCTCTAATGCTTCCATCTCATTCATTATAGCCTTTTTCCAAACTGGTTTGTTCAACGCCTCCTGCACTGTTTGTGGAATTTCTTGATCTTCCAGGTTTGACACAAGAGCTTGAACAGAGTTAGACAAATGATTATAGGCTACAAATCTTGATATTGGATGATTGGTGCAAGACCGAATACCCCTTCTAACAGCTACAGGCAGATAGAGATCAGAAAACTTATCTTTCATACCTGATTTCGGGTCGGATTCTGGACAGTATGGAGCCTGCAGGTTGTAATTACCCTTCGAACCTTTTTTTCATGCATATTTTAGATCAAACAATTGTTCTGGACGAGATGCGGAAACCTGATTTTGTGGGGTATCTATCCGATAGTTTGGATAAGAGGTTTGTGGGGAAAGATTTTGAATCAAATTTGGATGTTTTTTCTAAGGTCGAGATTTGCGGAGATGGATTTTGGATTTGAGGGAGATTCTCTCGGAATATCTTTGGAAAAATTGAGTTCGAATCAGGCACAAATTTTTGAGATCCAGCTGGTGGATTTTGTGGTTCAGCTGGTGGATTTAGTGGACCAGCTGGCGGATTTAGTGGACTAGCTGGCGGATTTTCTGAGATTTGAAAATTTTGTGTGGCTGGAGACAGATTCTGTGGGGAATTCAAGATTTCTGAGGTTGGCGAAGAGGATATCTCGAGAGGCTTGTTTGAATGGGGTGAAATATGCCAAAAATATTCCCATAAATCCGGATTTTTTGAATTGTCCTCAGAAAAGTTTTCTTCACAGTTGTGCTCCCCCTGAAGAGAATTTTTCTGGAAAAAGAATTGGTCTTCAAAGAACGTGACATCTTTGGACACAAAATATTTTCTCCTTTCTATCGAGTAACACTTGTACCCTTTATGAGTGGTGGAATATCCAACAAGGATGCATTTGTGAGATCGAGGATCGAATTTGCTCCTATGGGGATCTAGATTATGAACAAACGCTAGGCATCCAAAAACACGAAATTCAAGAGGGGTAGAGGGTCGTGTGTCAGGATAAAATTGCTGGAAACAGTCAATAGGATTTTGATGTTTCAACACACGCGAGGGAATACGGTTAATCAAATAACAAGCAGTGAGAACTGCATCACCCCAAAAGGTCTTTGGTATATTGGCTGTGAACATAAGGGAACGAGAGACATTTAACAAATGTCGGTTCTTTTTTTCTGAGACACCGTTTTGTTGTGGACTATCAACACACGAACTTTGATGAATAATACCATTTTTTAAGAGAAAATCTCCTAGGACAGTATTAAAAAATTCTCTACCATTATCGGTGCGTAACATACGAATACTTTCATTAAACTGAGTGTGAATCATGGAGTGGAAGTTTTGAAACACAGTTGCAACTTCGGACTTTTCTCTTAAAAGATAGACCCAACAAACACGAGTGTGATCATCAGTAAAAGTAACGAACCATTTTTTCCTTGTGAGTGTCACAATGCGGGATGGTCCCCAAATATCACTATGAATTAGGGCAAATGGTTTAGATGCGTGATAAGCTTGAGGTGGAAAAGGAACACGAGTATGTTTAGCTAACTGACAAATTTCACATTGAAATGAATCATCGTTTTTAAACAAGGATGGAAACAAAAATTTCATATAACTGAAACTTGGATGTCCTAGTCTATTATGAAGCAAACTAATGTGCTGAAGCCGAGAGTTTGAGGAGGTGCTAACAACCATTTGAACCAAACCACGCACAGAAAAATCATCCTCAAAGTAATAGAGACCAGCAATTTCCCTAGCACTGCCAATCTTCTTCCCCGAAATCCGGTCCTGAAAAACACAAGAAGAAGGAGAGAATTTCACAATACAATCCATATCACGGGTAAGCTTGCTAATGGACAACAAATTGCAAGACAAGTTGGGAACATGTAATACGGATTTCAAAACAATATTTGATCCAAGTTGGATGGATCCACTTCCAGCAACAGCGGAAAAAGAACCATCGGCGATCTTAACACGATGATTCACAGGACTTGGAGAATAAGACATGAACAATTTTTCACAACCTGTCATATGATCGGTTGCCCCGGAATCAATAATCCAAGGTTCTGCTTTTGTAGTCAGGCCACCGAAGGAATTTACAGAGGTACCTTGCTGGGCTGTCAAAGAGGCGGACTGTGTTGCAGAAAACATTTTTCAAAGTTGATCTAACTGCTCCTTTGAGAAGGTTGTGCCAAGTTGATTAACTGCCACTACGTCGGATGAAACCTGCATCCCTTTTCAATCACGTCCTTTAGCACGATTTGGAGTCCAGTCGGCAGGCTTACCGTGAAGTTTCCAACATGTCTCTCGAGTGTGGTATGGTTTTTTGCAATGATCGCACCATTTCTTCAAGCCTCGCGCATCTGTACGAGAGTCCAAACCACGAGTCACCAAACCAGACGAGTCGGTGGAAGGTGTAGATTGAACAGTCTTCGAAAAATTGCCAAGCATCACTCTCCTACGATGTTCTTCACGTCGTATTTCTGCAAAGATTTCGCCAATATTCGGAAATGGCTTCAATGCAATTAAACGACTGCGGACATCATCAAGCTCCGGATTCAGGCCAGCCAGGAAATCATAGGTGCGATCGGCATCCACCATCTCCTTGTACATCACGACATCGTCCGTGCTTTTCCACGGTTGAGTGATAAATAGGTCTAACTCCTGCCAGAGTTTTGTCAACTCAGTAACATCATTCTCCCCCTGTCGGAGATTGTGAGCATGAGTTCTCAATTCAAACATTTGAGACGAGTTCTGCAGATCTGAGTAAGCAAGAGAGACGGCATCCCAAATACTTTTCGCCGTCAGGAATAAAATATAGGTATCAGCAATGTGATCCTCCATAGAATGAATAAGCCACGCCATGACCATCGAGTTCTGTGATTCCCAAGCAGAGTACTTCGGATCATCAGGGGCCGGCTCTGAAATAGTTCCATCAAGATACCCTTGTCTTCCCTTACCATGGAGAACGGGACCATTTGAGAAAGTTCTTCCCATTCAATTTTTGGGTCGTGATTTGTAGGGAAGTCCGGGACTGTTAGGATCCTAGATCCTAATGCAAGAATTGGGCTATTAACAGGGTTGAGAGTGGACAAATGGCCGTTTTTATTGATTACCAAACTCTGCTATTACATCAAGAGCTTCAGGAAGCTCTGAGATTAATGGAAATGGAAGGAAATTACAAATACGCAGGAAACAAAGATAGAAGGGATTTTCGAGGAATCCCTAACCGCCCAGTGGACAATCCAAGTAGCAAATTCGATGCTCCCCACACTCCCCCCTGCTTCCCCATATATCCACCGATACTCTAACCAACTTTGCACACCTCCCCATAAGGGCCCTCCGTGCCAACCACGCTCTTACCCCGTTCTGACTCAGTTGGGCCTAGGCCCTTCTCCATACCTCTCTTGGGCCTTCTAACGTAAACCTTCCGCACCGGGGGTCTAACATTACCCCCCCTTCGAAAACAACCTTGTCCTCAAGGTTGTGGTGGGGAAATTGGGCCTGAAAAACATCTAGGTGCTCCCATGTAGCCTCCCAATCCGGTAGCCCTTTCCACTTAACCAAACTTCTGCCACTTGCTTCCCACCCCAGGAGGTCCACCTGCCCCTTAGGGCCTCGGAAGGTTCCACCTGAAGTTCCAAATCATCCGAGAGCTGAAGTGGGAGTGGTTGACATCTAGGGTCGCTGCCTCTGAAGGGCTTCAGCTGGGACACGTGGAACACCGGGTGAATTCGAGCGTCTGCCGGTAGCTGCAGGCGATATGCTACCTCACCTATTTTCTCCAAAACCTCAAAGGGTCCGTAAAAGCGTGGAGCCAGTTTCTCATTTGGCCTCCGTGCCAAGGACTTGAGGCGGTAGGGCCTCAACTTGAGGAGAACCCGGTCCCCTGGAGTAAAGGATAGTTCGCGGCGGTGAGCGTCCGCAAACTTTTTCATTCGCTGCTGAGCCAGAACCAAGTGTCCCTTAAGGACGTCTAGTAGCTCATTCCGATGTTGAAGCTGGAGGTTGACCTCCTCTACTGCGGATGGGGAGTCCTGAAATCTGGCCAGTGTAGGAGGATCTTGCCCGTAAACTACCTGAAATGGAGAGTGTTTAGTTGAAGCATTATAAGTAGTGTTGAACCAGAATTCGGCCCACGGCAGACACTGGAACCAGCCACGCGGTTTATCACTAACGAAACAACGGAGGTATACTTCCAAGCACCGGTTCACCACCTCGGTTTGGCCGTCGGACTCGGGATGGTAAGCGGAACTGCGATTCAAGTGAGTTCCCTGCGCACGGAACAGTTCCTGCCAAAAAAGACTCATGAAAAGCGGGTCCCGGTCCGTAATGATAGAACAGGGGATGCCATGGAGTCTAACCACGTCCTTAACAAAAGCCTCAGCCACTCTTTTGGTAGTGAACGGGTGAGACAAGGGCAAAAAATGAGAATACTTGGATAAACGATCGACTACCACTAGGATCGTGTCCATCCCCTGCGATCGAGGCAAGCCGCATATGAAATCCATAGAAATATCCTCCCAAACCCTCGCTGGAATAGGTATAGGTTGCAGCAACCCCGCCGGAACCAGGGCCTCTGTCTTGGAACGTTGGCAAACTGAGCAGTTTGCAACGTAGTTGCGGATGTCGCTTTTCATCCCTCGCCAAAACAGATTGTCTGCCACCCTCTTATATGTCCTCAAAAACCCCGAGTGACCGCCCAAGGCAGAATCGTGGAATTCTTGCAACATCCTGTGTATCTAGGGGGACTTATGTGGTAAAACAACCTTGTCCCTGGTAGCATAAGAGATTTTGGTGTATGGCAAACCCGGAAGCTACTCCTCATCTTGCCGCTGCTCCCGCCTAATCTCCGTCCAGTTCACCCGCTGCGGTATGGACAGAGCTGTGAGCCCCACCGTCTCATCCTCACCACGCCTAGACAGTGCATCCGCTACCCTGTTTGAAGCGCCCGGCTTGTACTGCAGTTCGAAGTCATAACCAAAGAGTTTAATGGCCCAACGGAGGTGAGCGGGAGGCAGAAGCCGTTGATCCATAAGGAACCTTAGGCTTTGCTGATCGGTGCGCACGACAAAGTGGCGCCCAAGTAAGTAGTGGCGCCACTTTTGCACCGCTAAGACGACAGCCATGAGCTCCCGCTCATAAACCGACCTGAATCGTGATGTTTCCGATAACTCTTTGCTGAAGAAGGCTATGGGCCTTCCCCTCTTGCATTAACACAGCCCCCAAACCTGATCCGGAGGCGTCAGTTTCCACTATGAAGAGCTTGGAGAACTCCGGCATTGCTAGGACCGGCAGGGTGGTCATGGCCTGCTTGAGGGCGTTAAACGCAGCCCCTGCCTCCGGGGTCCATTTGTACTCTCCTCGTTTGAGGAGCTCGGTCATCGGCCTCGCCAGCTGTCCGAAGTTGCGAACGAATTGCCGGTAATAGCCAGCTAGCCCCAAAAAACCCCTAACTCCTCGGACGTTCTTGGGTGTGGGCCAAGCCACCACGGCTTCTATTTTGGCCGGATCAGCCGCCACACCGGCTGCCGATATCACATGTCCCAAGTACTCTAACCGGTGCTGGCCGAATGCGCATTTTTTTCGGTTCGCGAACAACTGCTCACCCTGTAAGACTTGTAGGACCGCTGCGAGATGTTCCTGATGTTCGGCCTAAGTGCGGCTGTAAACCAAGATGTCGTCGAAGAACACCAGTACAAAATGGCGCAAGTAAGGCTGAAAAACCTTATTCATAAGCGGCTGAAATGTGGCCGGCGCGTTTGTCAAGCCGAACGGCATGACCAAGAATTCATAGTGCCCCTCGTGTGTCCGGAATGCAGTCTTTTCCACATCAAATTCCCTGACTCGAATTTGATGATATCCCGCCCTCAAGTCTAATTTTGAAAACACTGTCGCCCCATGTAATTCGTCCAACAGCTCATCAATGACGGGAATTGGAAATTTGTCTGGAACGGTGAGCTGGTTAAGGGCTCGGTAGTCCACGCAAAAACGCCAACTGCCGTCTTTTTTTTTTTTACTAAAAGAATAGGGCTGGAGAAGGGGCCATTGCTTGGCCGGATGACCCCGGACGCCAACATTTCAGCCACGAGCTTCTCTATCTCATTCTTCTGTACTTGGGGGTACCGGTACGGCCGAATGTTAGGCGGTTCCGCCCCTAGTTTGAGAACAATCTGGTGATCCCGTGCTCGGTTTGGTGGTAGACCACACGGTGTCTCAAACACAGTAGAGAACTTCGCTAAGACCCCCTGTAATGCCTCCGGTTCCTTGGCTCGGGACCCTTGAACATCTGCCCCCTCGATAGCATGTATTTCTAATAGCGCCCCTGCCATATCCCCGTGGCATGTCCGGGTTAAAGTCTTCAAACTCACCGGTTCCAGCTTCAGTGTTGGGTCTCCAGCTAAACAGACCCAACCTGCCTCGGACTTGAATTTCAGGGTGAACTTTTGCCAATCGGCCCTGACCTCCCCCAGAGTTTGTAACCACGCCACCCCCAAAACCACCTTTGCACAGCCCAGTTCAAACGGAACGAATTCCCCCAAAATCGAGTACCCCTGAATTTTGAGTTCTACCCCCTTACACACTCCTTGCCGTTTAAAACAGGCACCATTACCAACCTGAATTCTATAGGTGCCTGTAGTTGCGAGGGGAATTTGTAGTTCCCTCACAACCCGAAGCGACAGGAAATTGTGGGAAGCCCCACTGTCTACCAAGACCATCACCTCCCGGCTGCCGATGGTTCCCCTCAGCTTCAGGGTGTTGGCCGACGAGACTCCCATTAGAGAATTAAGTGAGATGCCCGCCATCCCTTCAGCCTCTTCTATGGGTGGCTCCCCTGCCTCTACGGAATCTTCAACCTTCTCCTCTTCCTCTTCCGACACCAGGAGCACCTGCAACTGCTGATTCTTGCAGCGGTGTCCCGGTCCATATTTCTCATCGCACCTATAGCACAACCCCTTGGCTCTTCGTCGCTGGATCTCGTCATCGGTGAGCCTCCTAAAGCTAGCCCCACCCCCTTCTCCTGTACTAGTCTGTTGTGGCGGCCACGTCCGAGGTCGGTGGAAGGGCACCGACTCTTTTCCTAAGTTGTACTGAAGGGAGTTCCCTGAGAATCCCGTAGCAGGATTGGGCTTCTCACTCAAGCCCGATCCCTTACCCGAATCGTCATACTTCCATCCCCGGCCCAACTTCCCTCTCCTAAGTTTCTCTACAGCCTCATTCCTATCCTCAATCTGTTGGGCCAGGTCCATTACCTCTTGGAGGTTAATGGGCCGATGCAATTTCACTTCAGCCCTCACATCCTCCCGTAACCCATTAAGAAAGGCTCCACGGAAAATAGGTTCAGGCATACCTCTCATTGATGCGGCCAACGGCTCAAAGCGATCGCGGTAGTCAGCCACCGTACTGTCCTGCCGCAGCGCCATCAGCCTCTCCGTCGGGTCGCCGTCCTTGGTACGGCTGAAGCGGTGGAGGATAGTGGTTTTCAAGTCGCGACAACCGGCGAACGGTTCCTGTGAGTCCAACCATTGGAACCAGCCAAGGGCTCTCCCTCCATGCAAACCGAGGCTGCCATTACTTTCTCTCCTTCCTCTACTCCGTTAATGGCGAAGTAGCGTTCTGCGCGGAACATCCACCCGTATGGGTCGTCCCCCTGGAATATCGGCAACTCTAGTCGTCGTCCCCGGTGATCATTTCGGCCGCGAACCCGTTCCGGCGACTCGTTCTGCAACCGTCGGTCTCGGTCCCGTACTGGTTCCCGCCGCTGAGGATTCGGCGGTTGAGCCTCGAGATGGCGGCCCATCATAGCCTCTAGTCGGAGAAGGGAACCCTGTACGCCGCCGATCTGGATTCCCAAAGCCACCACGTCCTCCTGAAGCTGAGGTACGTGATCCACCATTGCTCCCATCAACCATACGTTCTCTCTGATCGCCTCTACCTCCTCTTCCACCCCAGAGATGCGCTCCGTCGTGTTCGCCGCCGGTACCCCGTGAGCCATGGACCGCGGCTCTGATACCAAAATGTTAGGATCCTAGATCCTAATGCAAGAATTGGGCTATTAACAAGGTTGAGAGTGGACAAATGGCCGTTTTTATTGATTACCAAACTCTGCTATTACATCAAGAGCTTCAGGAAGCTCTGAGATTAATGGAAATGGAAGGAAATTACAAATACACAGGAAACAAAGATAGAAGGGATTTTCGAGGAATCCCTAACCTCCCAGTGGACAATCCAAGTAGCAAATTCGATGCTCCCCACACTCCCCCCTGCTTCCCCATATATCCACCGATACTCTAACCAACTTCGCACACCTCCATAAGGGCCCTCCGTGCCAACCACGCTCTTACCCCGTTCTGACTCAGTTGGGCCTGGGCCCTTCTCCATACCTCTCTTGGGCCTTCTAACGTAAACCTTCCGCACCGGGGGTCTAACAGGGACTGAATATCAGATATTGTAGTGGGAACAATTTTAGGGATTGGTATATCTGATTTTTTCTACACTATAGAATATTAGAATGCGGAGTGTGTTTATTGTAGCTACTCTCACATTCTTACTATTTAAAGTTTTTCTTTATCTATTTTGTTGTCTTCTATGTACTTCCCCTAAAGCATCAGTTTTTCATTCTCTGCATTTTCTTCAGCTTTTCTCTCTTCTTTTGTGTTATTCTCTCTCTCTCGTCTTTTTGCTATTTAGAATCGCCATCAACTTGATTGATGAGGTCGACGTCTACGCTTTTGTGGCGAACTCTACTATATTTCGTGATTCCATTTTTTTGGTGCGTGTTTTGTTCTTGAGAAAGTGTGGGAAAATCGAATGAAAGATTGGGTATGATTCTCTGTACATTTTCGTTTGCTAATCTCAGTTGGTCGAGTGACTTTTAAAGGTAATAATTATTGTGTCTGTTCATTTGATCTGTATTCTTTTTTTATTTTTTTTATTTTATTGCTTTTGTTTCCTAGTTGATTGATCTCTCTTTGATTGTGTTTTCTCAAAGTCAATCTTTTTTCGTTTGGAGCGACAATTTTCTAGATTGAAGGTTTTTTTTTTCTTTCTGAAGTGTTAATTTCTTCATTGGACAAAAACTATTGTTGTACTTTTTCCCTATAAGGTGTTCGGTCGGCCATTATTTTTAGATTTGGTTAGGGATTGGTCATCGTTTTTGTAGTTTCGTTTGATTTTTGTTTCAACACTTAGCTTTTTATTTGTACTTTTGAACCTGGTCTGCCAAAGGAAAACTCCCTCTGCTTTCTAGTGTTCGTTTTTCAGCTTAATAATATCCTCGTTTCTTTTCCAAAAAAAAAAATTATTGTGAGAAATTGCATTAACTGGAATGGTTTTTTTTGTCCTTTCTCCTATTTGGTTAGGTCGTAGCCTAGGCTGTGCGGGTCTTTTATGTTTTGCAAACATTCCATTGTTTTACAATTTAATTTGAGAACTCTTCTTAAAGAGAAGCAGTATTTTTCTGAGTTTTTGTCTTCAAGGTTAATTTTTTCTTTATAATTGTTGTGTATCCGATCTCGTAAAAATATATTGAAAAAGGAAGCATCTGTACTTCTTCTATCAATTTAATTTCTTAATGATCAAATTGGAAGTGGAAATGGAGAAATAAACAAGAAAATTGCAAATGCCTTCATTTTGTAGAGTTTCTTTGGCTACCAAGCAGGTTGAGAAAGGTTTGGCAAAAATTGTAAATTATGTTAACAGTGAAGAAGTTCTTGTTCAGGTTGTGTTAATAGTTATTGTTTTTGTTCTTCAATTTACTACACACCCCTTGAATTGATTTGTTTTACTCTACCTCAACCATTTTGATTTTTTACCGCCTGATGTAACATGTTCATTTGCACTACCATTTCTAATCTTGGAGAAATAAACAAGAAAATTGTAAATGTCTTCTTTTTGTAGAGTTCCAAGGTATAATCTACCTCTAGTTTTCAATCCTCATAATTTATGTTAACAGTAACTAAAAAAATAGTAAATTATGTTAAAAGTGAAGAAATCTTGTTCAGGTTGTGTTAATCATTATTGTTTCTGTTCTTCAGTTTACTACCCACCCCTTGAATTTATTTGTTTTACTCTTCCTCAACCATTTTTTTATTTTTTACCCCCTGATGTACATGTTCATTTGCACTACTATTTCTAACATTGGAGAAATAAACAAGAAAATTGCAAATGCCTTCTTTTTGTCAAGTTTCTTTGGCTATCGAGCAAGCAGGTTGAGAAAGTTTTGGCTCGCATAGTTAGAATCATGTCGGTTGCCATTCATTAAGCAAAGGCAACCTTACTTCCAAGGTCATAACCTATGTTAACCGTCACTAAAATGTAATAAGTTATGTTTACAGGGAAGTTCTTGTTTAGGTTGTGTTAATAATTATTGTTTTTGTTCTTCGGTTTATTACACACTTCTTGAATTGATTTAGTTTACTTCTCCACAACTATTTTGGACTAATTACAAAAATTCCACTTGAATTATGCCCCTTGTAACACTTTGCTCTTGGTTCTTCAAAACATAACATTCATTTCCCTTAAACAATGAAACATTAATAAAAATGCTCCATTAAAAAATTTAACAGTTTTTTACACGTGTCACATACATATCATATGTTAAACAATTTAGAGCACAATTAGTATTTTACCCACGCACCCACGTGACAGGCACAGTTCCTTTTTATTTTTATTTTTCCTAAACGAATGGTTTTTTATTTTCCATTTGCTATTTTTAACCTAAAAAATGTTCATAACAACTCCATACATTTTTTATTGTATAAATAAAAAAATTCAAAAAATTTTTAACTTACAGTCAATTAATGGTGGATGTTTCGTAATTAAAAGTTCAAATTTAAATTAGTTTTGAATTAAATTTCATTCTAGAGTTACCAAAATACCCCTAAAATAACTTATTAAATGTCAATTTCCATTAAAAATTTAACGGAGGGAGCTTTCTTGTTAACATTTCATTCTTTTGTGGGACGGGATGTTATTTTTGAAAGATCAGTGGGCAAAGTGTTACAAGGGGTATAATTCGTGGGGAATTTTTGTAACTAATCCCAACTATTTTAATTTTTTACCCCCTGATGTACATGTTCATTTGCACTACTATAGGGGTATAAGTCGGGGGAAACTTTTGTAATTAATCCTAACTATTTTGATTTTTTGCCCCCCTGATGTACATGTTCATTTGCACTACTACTTCTAATGTAGGGATATTCATTTTCTAATCATTAACTCTAGGGCAAACAAGTCAACTTCCCTATGATATGCTCGTTAGTTCTTGGTCATGCCTCTATTGTAACGACTTGGAAGATTGTCTAATTCTTTTTATTAGCAGTACTTGCAGACCTTTTTTTCTTTGTACTGGTATGCAGCTTATGGTGCTTTTGTTTTAATATATTACTTTTACTAATTATATCATTTCTCAATCTCATTTTGTCTTGGTGAAAAGAGAGAAATTGTATTTGACCATTGGAGAAAGTAATTCCTCCTTGACCGTGTTTCCAAAATTTGACTTAGTTGTGGCCCAGTGAAAATTCTTTATCTTTGTTTCTTTCTTTATTGCCCTAAATAAATATACATGATCATGGATTTTAGTATAATTGTATTCTGTTTTTGAGATATAAGATAGATCGCGATCCCCTGTTCTTTATATGTTGAATTTTCTCATAGCTTGACTGGGAATTGGTTCTTTTTCATGCTTTTCCTTGTTAGCATAACGGTAGCATACGTTGTTTTCTTTTTTTAAAAATATATCACTTCTACTAATTATATTTCTTTATTTTCAACATCATGGCCATCTCATGTTTAAAAAACAAATTCATGTTTTTTCTTATAATTTGTCATGTATTAAAAAAATCTATTTTTAAAAATGAATTAAACTCTAATAAAAAATCTATTTTCTAACAATATTATGGGTTGTTTGGTTGCTAGATTCATACCATGATTCGAATCATAGTTCGTGGTTCGTTACAGTATTTTCTCTCATAAAAAATACACGTAAACTGAAAATAATTTTGAATCCATCAACCAAACATCCACTTAAAAGTACGGTTGGTTTACTATAGCTACCCTCACATATGTACTGTTCAAAGTTTTCGTCTTTCTAATTTGTCGCTTCCTTTTTTTCTCCTCAACAGTCTTTTTGCACCCATCTCTCTCGTCGAGCTCACATCTTTCTCCTCTTTCTTTTCATTTGTTTCCCTTCTGCCTTTCGCTCTTATCTCTCTCTGCAACTCTCATTCCTCCAAAAACTTCCCTCTTGTTTTCCTTTTTGGTGAGCTTTCAAGAGACACGAGAACACAAGCCCACCACCCAATACCCAGAAAAAGGAAACAAGAGAGGAAGAGAAACGGAATCATCCCGTCCACCATCCAAGCCAAGCAGTAGGTACCCTCCTTTTCTATCTTCTTTGATATGTGGGTTTTGATGGTTTTCATGTAATTGCTTTATCTCCTATTTTATATGTGTTAGTTTATGTGGTTTCTTCAACTTTTTATTTGAATATGTTTGTTATGGGTTCAGGTACCTGAAAATTCCTATCTTTTATGTATTAGTTTATGTGGTTTCTTCTGAACCTTTGTTTAGTTGTAGAATAGGTAATACCTAAAGAAATGTAGAAAAGAGTAGTTGAATTCTTATGGTTTTGGATATCGTTGCTTTCTTATTGTTCTGGGCTTTGATTGAATTTGAAGAGTTTAGTTTCTAGGGAATGGAGTTTCTTCAAGGTATCTCTAAGCAGTTGATCTTCTCCAATTTGTTTCTTGAGACCTTGTTCCTTGTTGTCTTGCTCAGGTATGACAATTTTCCACAGTTTTTCTTTATATTTGTGTTTACCATTACTATTTCTGCTTCAGTGACGAAGAAATGAAAAAACATCATAATATTAATGAAAATAAAACTTAAAATTTTGTAGTTACTTTATTGATGTCTAGGTCAAAGAACCATTCGTTGTGCTAAACAAACGGATCACAGAAACAATTTCTCATCCTCTGTTTCTCCCTTTCTGGT